AATTCCTCCATGATCCGCCGGGGTATTCTATTCCTTCCACGAGCAGGGGCACCAATCCAACCAACACATCAAGTTACCAGCAACCCACCACCACCTGTCCTCATCATCCTAATGGACAGCTTCCCTCCCGCTTCGTCCGCTTTGCGGGTCTCCGCCTGCCCTTCGGCTTCGACAGCGCACAGCGGAGCTAGTCTCTTGATACAATGCTTATTCCCCCTCCCCACCGCGGCCCTCATGAGTTCCATCCAATTAACCTTCTCCACCTTCCGCACATCTGCTAGTATCTGCGCAAGCAGGAGATCAAAAACGACATTACTCTCGCACTGAGTACCGAGGGGCCGAAATATGCTCTTCTCGAGCACGCTGTTATCGGCTTCATTCGCACCAGCCCCTAGGAGTGGTGTTATCGCGTTTACGTCGCCCGCTTGAATAGCGTGGATGAGTAGGTTCCGGTGCTTGGCTTGTTGTTCGGGAGTAAGGATCTTGGCTGAGGTTGTTGGAGGAGGCGCACTGTCCAGGGACATTTCGGTGGTAGGCTTGCCGATTATTTGGCGGGGTTGCGGATTATCCGACGGGCGGAGGGACATCGATGCGGAGAAGCGGATGATCCGGGTTGCCGGGGAGTTGCAGAGACCACAGGTAACTTTCTTGTTCGTTACCATGTAATACTCGACACAGGAGTGACAGAAAGTGTGCTTGCACACATCCAGACTTCACCTATCAGTAACTGCCCTTTGGTAAGAGTTGGGGAGAACTTACACGCAATCACATATATTCCTCTCGCAGCAAACACATCCGACCAATGTTCCCCTGGATGGTTTCAAAGACTCCAAAAATTCCACACCCTTCTCACTATCGATTTCCGAGACTGCGCTTACGGAATCAAACTGCCCACGAATCCAGCAGGATTCGCCTGATCATGGATGTAATACGGTACATTAGCTTTCGCATAATCCTCAAAGGAAACAGTAGGCATAGGCGGTACAAGCCCAGTGATTGCTTCGAAAGCGACAGAATTGACCCTCTAGATATTGACCATCTTCATATCAGCTTTATTCCACACTCTCGGATCCGGATCCTTTGCGATAGTTTACTTTATTCTACCACCAGCAGCAAGCCCCATATCCCAGCCCCCCGAGTCCTCTTTCCGTTGGGCTCCACCATTCCCGGCACAAAGGCAAGATGCATGTATCCCTCTAACGTGGACACCCACAGATTCAGAAACCCCTATCTGATGCAATGTCTTGGCCATGTCTGATTCAAATTTACCCTTGGGAAATTCAAGCACTAATATGATCCAGCCCCCTAGAACTTTCCGCTGTACTGCCCGTGAAATATCTCTGATACGAGCGAACGGAGAGCAGTTGAGATTGAAGGGTACCAACCCCCACGCTGCTTCTGGTACTATGATCAATGGGATAGCCATTATGGGGGTTACCACTAAGGATGAGCGCTAACCCGGGTCGTAGCAACGGGTACGGTCTCCGATGAATAGCTCGTGAACAAATGTTGGCCTTTCCTCCTCCATCGCGTATTTAGGCACTACTGTGCGGTCGTCTAGGGAGCCAATTTCTTTGTCTGGATACTCAAAATCATAGTTGTAAGGTGTTTCCCCTAAATCCTGCATGTAGATCAGGTCCCCAGGGAGAATCCCTAATTCTCTCGGCGTGAGGAAATGATCGAAGCTCGCTTTCTCCAGAATATCGGTATCAATTTTGACGTTTTTGGCTCCAACCTCAACCTTCCCAAACAAGCAGTCATCAAGATATCGAGGTATTATCTCAAGCTGGATCCCACCAATGTTCTCCTTTCCAGTGAGCTGGTTCTCAACGGTATATCCGGAGCCCAAAGGCATAGGCACAAACTGTTTAGCTTCCCCGGGGCCAGTACTGTCGGGGGAAATTTCTAATTCAGGTCTTTTCCGATTTGAATAACTTTTGTTGTATCAAGGTGAAGGTTTCTAGGGTTTTGTTATGATGGATGGGATCGTTTGGGAGTTGAGAGAGAGAAAATTTGCTTGTTGTACTTAGGGGATTTCTTCCATCTTTCTTTTCAATAGAGTTTTCAACCACGTGCGAACCCACGAAAAGAAAACAAGTCTAAACTACGAAGTCTGAACACTATCGAAACAAATATACGAGTGAAATTGGAGTGAATTTAAACAACTCCACGATTTTAGACACAGGAATAAGCCGAAGGACTGTGCTGTTCCAACCTATCGTGGATCATTGTTTGATTTTACGCCCTTTTGTTTTCATCTGTCCACTGCTCTATCTGAATCATCTTCGAACCAACTACGATTACCTTTTAACGATCCGACCGAATATTATTCTTTCAGTACCGAAACCCCCGAGCCACTTTTGCAACGGGACAACAATGTAATCCTGCCCCGATTCGTCTTCCCCGTCTGCTACTGCCCCACTCACAGCGTTAACGCCACCTGCATAGACCTTTACTGCGAACTGACAGTCATTTCGCTTCCTGTTAGAGGTAAGCTCGGCATAACTGAAGGCTAAGCAGAGAGCTTCTCTTTGATAGATAGGAAAGAAAAAAACCCCCTTAGCTCGTAAAGAACTTGGCATCTTCTCGAAAGCCGAGGTTTCAAAAAGATTAAAGCTGCCAACGTCCTGGGGGATATGATATGTATTGCGGTCATCGGGAATCCGAAGGATCCTTTTGAACTGAATAGTAACCCGACGTAGCGTGTCTCCTACGCTAAGATACATTCCGTGATTTATCAGATTGAAGCATCCACTCGCCTTAAGCCCGTATCTGCGGTTGAAGAACTCGATCAGAGTCTCGCCACAGTTGATTTGATACCCTTTCCTTAGGTCGTAGCATGAAGGCCCGGATGTCACTGTAAGCATAGTCACCGTGGACTTCGGCGTGAACGGGGCTATGACGAAATCTTCCTCTTCCCCGTGTATCTTGAAACCACAGATATCGTCGTAGCCTTGAACTCATATCAGCAACTGCGGTGACTTGCAAATTAGCGACATGAAAATCTTTTTCATTAATACCTTTGCCTCCAATCTTCTCGCACAAATCGAAAATTGTGTGCTCAGGCGATATCAGCACTTCTTCCACGTGTTTCTCTTCGCCCGTGGCCCATGCTGGGTTGACAAGATCTTTGACTATAACGTGAACAGCTCCATCGCTAATGCCCGTTCTTAGCATCTTTGGAATAGACTCCGATACAACTTGCTGGGCCCAACCACCACTACCATTCGCTTCTAGTGCTAATACCGCCTCTCTATTGCCCTTCGCTGCCTTTAATTTGGCTAGGTTTGCGGAGAAATCACCCTTTCCCTTTGCTTCGGGTGCAGGAGCAGGTGCAAACCCTGACAACCAACTATTAAAGTCCGAATGGCCTTGAACCTCCTCTGACGTAGCTGCGGATATCAGAACCGCAGGCCCACTGGCCGACCCGCCCACTGGTTTGGAGGCTCGAGTTAAACGCTTAGTTCCCCCCGGCAGCTGTGATTTCGGGTTGGAAAGTAAAAGGGCAGGTATATCCTCCCCCCGTTTTCCTTCACCATTCGCGCTCGCACCCCCAACGCCTAAAGAGGAGGATGTGGCCCCAGATTCATACTTTCCCCCCTCATCTTGAATTTTAACGCTCCGTGAGCTCCCCAATCCACCATCGTTGCTCACAATCCCCGAATCAACAAATGTTTTCTCAGGAAGCCTATCCATCATCGGGGGGACCGGCGATGGCGCCCTAGATATTGTATGCAAACTCGCCCCGGCCGCCGATACCAACCTCTTGATAGCCACAATCTCTCCATCCTCCTTCTTCCCGATCCCCTGAACAAATTTCTCAATCGTCTCCTCCAACTCCCCAACCCCGACAAGACTCTTCGCAGCCTCTCTATCTCAAATCAGTCCGGACAAACCTTTGGAAAAACAAGTGAAAAGGTATCAATGTGGTCACATACAAGCTCTTCAACTGCAAAGTGATCTCAAGCGTAACCTTATACTCCCCCAACCTCCCGGCCAAAAATAAAATCTCCTTCTCTTTTACCGGCCACGACATCTGTGCCCACACCTTTCTCACGACGCTGCCCTGGAACTGCGTTCTTAGCGGGCCAACATGGGACTCCAGCTCCTGGAAGCTTTTCATGCACCCGCTCAGCACATCGTTTAACAACCCGGCATCCACAATCCCGCTGCCGCCGTCGCCGTTGTCGATGATAACCTTTTGCACACGCGCTAGCACATAGGTTAGTGTGGCGAGCTCGTCCGATATTGCCCGGACGGACGCAGGAGCAGATTTGGCTGATGTGACGAATTCATTGAGAGTTACGCCTATGCGCGTGGCGAGGGAGATGAGCCCGGCGATACTGCCAGCGATGCTAAGTGGGTCGGCCATGGTTCAGCGGAATTTTGTAATGGGGATATTGGGATGTACATCTTCCGCCCCCCGCAAGAACTTTGGGGGCGGGGGGCGGGGTAGCAGTTCCACGATATAGAATTTCCCCACCCTCCCAGGGCGAAAACGCTCGTGATAGCGATTCGCCAGCGTGGTGGGGGAAATCCTTGCCTGCGGCTGTACCAAGTGCATCGCAGAATGCGGGTGATTGGTTGCGGGGGAAACTGTATCAACTCATGATCGACCCGATCGGAAGCGCGGGATCGGTCTGCACGGTCTGCCTTGCGGGAGGCTTAGATTTTCCCTCCCGGTTCGGAGGCCCCCCGCTTTCCTGGGGCCATGCTAAGTATCGCACCGCACGGACTTCTAAAGAGTAGCGAGTGACCGCTCATGCCGACCCCTGCACCTTTGGCAAACGGATTCCCCCCGAAAAAGGTGGATAACAGGGATGCAAGGATAAAATGGGCCTCTGGGATTGCTGTTATGTGAGCTAGATACAGTATGAGATCAAAGTAATTCCAAAAAGATCTCCAGGAGTGGAACAATCTCCTTGCATTTGCTTCGACTCAGTATACTATGGATGACAGAGCGTTAGGGGCCATGGGGAACAAGTGTTTCTAGCAGTACAGCACTGTGCGTATAATATCATACCAATTTAAGAACATCCCAGACCTCACAACTGCACAAGGCCACCCACCACCCCCAACCAACGGAACTCCTTTTAGAAACTCCACTCCAATTTCTACCTATGATATAAGAAGCGAGAAAAAAGAAGAAAAAAGCAAAGCAAGGAGAGAGAAAAAAGCATCGTCATATTTGCCATAAAATAATAACCCCGTCCAATGAGTGTCAATTAAACACCGGCGGCGGCGCCATGACCCCCTTCCCGAAAAACTCGCTGACAGTGCCAAACTTATCCCTCGACTCTTGCAACTGCGAATTGAAGTACTCGTGGCGATCCACATACTCATCCTGAGCCTTTCTAAGCGTGCGGATGGTCTGATTCGAAGCCGAGCAAGTCGGGCATTCTGGGTTGTCGTCGACATTGTTGAGACATCGTTGGTGGAAGGAGTGTTTACAAAGGAAGTGCACTGTTGGGAGTTCTAGTTGGAGGCCGCAAGCGAGACAGCGTTGGGATTGGAAGACGCTGGGCTTTGAGCCAAGGTCTTCAATTTCGGCCTTTTTCTTCTCCGTCTCGGTTTTGTAGGACTCAATCATCCGGCGATTCTACAATTGTTAGTTAGGGATAAAATAGGGTTTGGGTTGGTGAAAGCGAAAACATACACTTTCGATCTCGCGTCTTTCTTTCTCGATGGTGTCTCCGAGGTAGCGTTTCACCATGCCGACCGTGGCGACGGCATTGGTGCTTAGCGTTTGTACCACCTGCAGAGGCTTCATCAAACCTTGCTCATCAATGACTTTGAGCACCCACTGCAATTCCTCTTCTCCGGCATCGGCAAGAACTCTGGGGCTACTTGTGAAGTATGATAATGCTGCAACGTATAGTTGTGGTTCTTCCGCCCCATACTTTTTCAATGCGCGGACAGCACCAGCAGTATCTCCAGCTGAACAGCAGGATCTGAATATATCAAAGCGCAAACCTTGCTTCTCACGAACCAATACAGTCCCATCTCGGAAGTTCGAGAGGTGGGAGAGCAAAAGGACGTTAGATGTATCTACCAAAGTCTTTTCACCCCCTTAGTAGAGCCCGAAGTAGAAGGTGCGGAGAAATCTTACCTCTTTATCCTCAATAATACCTTTCGCCTTGGTTTCCCATTGCTGCTTCTCCTCCCGAGTCTTAGCTTCATTAGCCCGCTGAAGGTACATCTCAAACAATGTCGTATATATATCCGCTCGATCCCCTTCACTAAGCACACCCTCACGAGCCGTCTCCAGAACATCCTCTAAGAACTCCACAAACTCCTTCGGATGATCGACAAACGACGAAAACGCGGTTCTGGGCCTCGGAGGCTTATAAGGCGCTGGAAGGTCTAATGGGACGGCACCCCCCTCCCCAGCAGCCGAGTCTGAGATCTTCTTCGGCGAAGCGCTAGCGGTGGCATTCGTTGACGCATTCGTATTTGGCGATGTTCCGCCGCCTCCCATATACGGCAATTGTTGCAATAGTGAAGCGTTAAGGTAGCTCTGAATTCTCCCTTCATGTTGCTGCGCTTGAGAGCCTGGCTCCTCCTTCTTTCTCGCAATATACCTCCCAGTATAATACTCAATGAAGAAGTCGGTAGTCTGTTGTGGGACTTCTCGCAAGAAGGTCCTTGCATACCTCATCAAACTGGAGTATGCCTAAAAGATAATCAGCAATAGCATAACCGGAGGTCAAGACGAGAACATACGATATCAGGCTCCAGTCTTTTCGTGTACCCTAGTGCCTCATCCACCTTCCCCAGATTCTCCACAAGGATTCCAACGACAACCTCATGTTCATCCTGTCTCTCGGCCAGGTATACGGCCTGCTCGTGGTAGCCGGCTTGTCTGCACATAGCGATAGCAGTATCAACGTCAAACCTCAAGCCCTCACCAGAAGACACCTTAATAAACTTTTCCAACTTCCCAATATCCTTAAGTTTAGCGTAGCAATTTAAGAGCAACGTTGTATGATCCGACGTTGCAATATCATGCATATGTAACTCTTCCAAATATTCAATGAGGTTGTGAATCCGCTGGGTATCCAAGAACTTTCGTATGACAGTACTGACACCCTCCTCGTTCGATTTACCAATAGCTTTGATATACCACTGCATGGACCCATCCCAGTCTCCTTTGCCATACAGGTAGTCGGCATATCGCCTGTATATCGCCCGTAATTTCGCCTCCCCAACTCCAGCCTTCTGCGCCAAATTGATGGCGGGGATATAAAGGTTTCTAGCGTACAGAATACCCAACTTCTCCTGTAAGCTAACTTCGTGATATCGATGAACCTTCCCGTCGAATGTCAAAACAAACAAATCACCCCATGTGCCAAACACCTGCTTGACACCAGAAATTAATCTCTCCGAGTGTGCCACGAACTTCAGTTCTGTGTCCAGAAGAGTAAACTTTGTTACATCGAACGGATCTTCGGTAACTGCTGCCGCCACACCCCTCCCCACAAGCCTCTTCAGTGTCCCTGTCATCCCGCCGGACCTGGGTGCAGTAGAAGGTTGCGAAGCTGGCGGGGAGACTAAGGCCACATAATTCTTGAAGATGTGCACCATTTCCTTCGGCCCCTCATATGCATAACACGCACCTCTCCCATTAGGCCCATAGAAGTATATTGCATCGTCCCTCGCTACCACGATGTCACTTCCCTCCCCGGCAAGGCCCTTTTCCTCAGACGAGAAATCGATGGCAGGCTTCATACACCCTGGCCCACACCCCTGTGATTCTAGCACCCTCGGTTGGCCAGTCCCCTTACCGGCCGTAACCAGTGTCAATATACGGCCAATAGTTGAAACATACAAAGTATCCCCGCCATCAGGGGCGGGTGTGTGGCGGTAGGGGCCGAACCCCCCTTGATGAGCATGAGCACCCGGAGTCGTTGGTGGTGGCGAGAAGCACAAGTTTGTGATAGGTTCCTCAGACTCGAAGATGATCCTCTGCTTAGAACCGCGATCATGGATCAGGTCACCTCGGATCAGTACAATAGACCCGTTAGCGAACCCGACAGCGACAAGCGACAGCGAAGGCGTAGTAGCGAACGCAGATATCTACACCCCCATTAGCAAGGCCCTTTCGAATACTTTTGTAAATATCACAACTAACTGGAAACTGTCGTCGACCATTCTGAATTGTAACTGTGCTCTGGCACCGCGGTGACCCCGTCTTCCTCTCCGTCTTATCTAAAGCCCACACCTTCAGCACGGGCTCGGTGCTCAAGTCCTCGCTAACCGTAACAAGTAATTTCGTTCCTTCCACCTGCTTGATATGCCGAATACTCCCCACATGTTCGGAGTCATTCTCGTACGTCGGAAACGACCTGACAATCTTGAACGCCGAATTGATCACATGTACGATCCCAACCGAAGTTCCAATGAACAGAGTATCAGACCCGGACGTTAAAGCTGTGATATCCGCGCCCTGTCCCAGCAATCAATTGTCAGGCCCCCAGTCGAGGAAGGTATGGTAACGAGGAGGGTCAAATACCTCAAACAGCGGAGGTGCGTTGTCGGTGTCATCGAGAGCTTTGACAGGCGTTACTATGAAGAAGTTGAATGATTTCCACTGCGAATCGTTAGTCTCTGTAAGTGTGAGAGAAAGGGAAGTATCGCTGGACCGGCAAGAATACTAACCGAACTTAACGCCATGGTGAAGCTGTTGTGGATCGTCGAAGCAAAAGCCGTTGTTGCGCTTCCGGAGACAGAACCAGTTGTTGAGGCTCAAAGGTGACCTGTTGCGTAGCATGGCATTGGCCATCGCAGCCATGCCGCGCTAGAGGGCATGCATCATCACTCGCCAATATGACAATGCGATTCAACTCGTTAGATTCCAGCATCACTCACGGCAATGAATTTTCAATCTTATGAAGTTAGAATGCCTAGTGAAGTCATTGTAATCTTATTCTCCTCCCCCCTCACCCTAGAAAGAAAAAACCAAGCACTGTAAACACTGCCAGGTTGCCAAACCCGAGTAGATTACGGTATTCTATAGTTCGGTTTCCTCCGCCGAGAATACAAGCATCCACACAGCCCTTGCACTTCCAAGCCCCACCACTAGATAGCTGTCTCGTCCACCCTTCAGCCTGCATTTCCCTCCCACGACCTCAACCCTATAACCTCTAGCTGTTCGATCATCCGCTCAAACCTCTTTTTAGTCGTCCACCATCATGGGAAATCTTTGCGGTAAAGAATCCGGCTCTTCGCTCCCCAACGGCAGAGTCCTCGGTTCCGGCGCGCCACCAACGGCGGCGGCTAGCAAAATACCACTTACGAGCAAGAAACCTAAGATCGCTAGTGGGGCCGGCCGAACTTTAGGAGGAGGAGGAGGCTCGGAAGGAGGAAGTGCAGAAGCTGGAGCTGCCGCTGGAGAGCAGTTGGACCCACGGACGGCTGCAGCGTTGGCTGCTGAGGTTTGATTGTCGACGATGTTTCTGATGCTCTGGCGCTAACTTGATGCCCGATAGGAACGCTCGAAAAAAAGGGCTGGGACGGGAAAGTTAGGGTCGGAGTTGGATAGACAAAAAAGAAAGACCCAAAATCAGCACATCCAGGATCTGGGGAAGACAAAAGGGCAACAAGAACAACTGGTTTGGGACTAGCCCGTCAAAGGGTGTGCGAATAGTTGGCTGGGTGGTTGCAGATAAGGCTATGCAAATTGGTATTACATTTCTTTCCACATTCTCGTATACGAATTTTGGGTCGGAGTTTTTGTATCATATAAAGGCTTTTTTTTCTTTTGGGCCTTTTTGCGTTGTCGATTATATGTTCGTTTTCTCATCCTAATAGAGTATCTTTGGATTCTCGCGTTAATGAAACCGCTTAATGAAGTGATGCGTTGAGACATGGGCTGCCCAAGGGCCTACTAAACTGAACGGCTTTCCGACGTTCGTAAAATAGAGATTATCATTATCAGTTGTTACAGCTAAATTTTGTATATATAATTGATACCATTGACGTCAAATCTAAGGCCCAAATAATATGTATATATCCTCACTACTCGCTCACAAGCTATAGCGTATTAGCTATGAGTGGATAACTAGAGATATTGAAGCTTACCATTTTGTCGATTCCTGCGGCAGTAAAATCTTCCCTCCTAACCAAGTATGGCTTCAACAAATGCGGTCTGACGCGCGAAAGCACCCCATCTCTCATACGTTCTTTGATAGCAGCAGGTCTAAGGCGTTGAGTCAACATAAACAATCTTGTAATAGAGGTTTTAAAAGGATAGGTCATACCCAACAACAAAGAGGTTTCCGATTTCAACAAGTAGTTCGAAGCTCTCGTTGACTGTCACTGCGCCCCACTTGTTGACGACATCCTGATACTTTGCTATATCTTTCGAAAGCATAATGCCGCCAGCCTGATTGACCTGGTACTTCTTCAGGTGGTCCAGCAACAAACCTCTAAAACCAGAACCTATTTCATTTAAGAACGATTCTAGGTTCGTGCCATCCAGGGATTCATTTGAGATCTCCGTAACTTTCTGGAGAAATGCGCAAACAGATAAACAGGCCTTTTAAGCGTTTGTAAGTGCGACCCCCAAACTTTGTGATTATTGATACTAACCGGTGTTTGAAGAGTCGTTAAGCTGACATCATCGTCCTTCGGCCTGAAATCTTGCTTTTTCTGCTTTGCCAGTAGAACCGAAATATAGGCTAGAACAACTGAACGTATGTCAATATCCTACCCGCCACCTATACGGTATTTGTGACTACACACCATCAATAGTTCTCTGAATTACATTGTTGATCTTCTGCTCTAGGCTCATTAGGGTGGTATTGGTCAATTTGCCCATCTCCCGCCGAGTTGTGAGAGATGTCTGGGAAAGCGGAATTAACGCGGTGTTGATGAATGAAAACATCAAATGCATGATTGTTGTTGCTGGCTTAATCTCTAGAAAGTACGTTAGATCCGGTTCACCCTTCGTTTGCTGCTCAGCGGCTTCTAGAGCACTAGATCTCACTCGTCAGTCAAATGCTCTTGGTCAGACATATTGCTTGGAACTCACGCATCTAGGGCAGTATCAAGGTATGTGGTCCGCATATGGTCTATTAAAATGTTCAGTAAAGCAGAGACATCTTTCGGTCTAATACCAAGTCAGTAAACTCCAATGTGGCTCGGGTGATACCACATGACTTACGTATCAGCCGGTGTACTCAATTCCAAGCTTCTACCAACACCCTCGGCAAGCCATTTGAGCATTCTCTTCGCAAACTCAACATTAAGCTGGCCATCGGAATCTGTGAGAATAACATCTGATAAGTGGCTTCCTTTCCCAGACTTGGTACGGTCTAATCCGATTATCCTACTAAGTGCATTGCTTTGAGACTTTCCAAGGTCACTATCTAGAACTTTTTCGATGGCTCTCTCGCGTGATTTCTTCAGTCGGTCTAGGACTCCTAGATTTTGTTCCCTTTTCCGTTGTTCCTACGAAATTCTGTAATTAGTAATAGTGGGTGCAGTGTTTCGGTGAACCAACGTGGGACATGTGGAACTTCAATAATAAACCGGTATAAAGCTGCTCCAAACTCTCCTTCTCTTTTTCCATATATCCTCTAACTTGTAGGTGTGGGAGAAAGAGCTCCTCAACGTTTTGATCGATGAGCACCGTTGTAGCGGATGATAGTGTTCCCGGATGCTCGGTTAAACCGTGGGACTTGAGGTCATCTGCAAGGGCAATGATGCATGCTCGTGAAGCCTGAAGTGTGCGTAGAAACGCCAGGTGCGAGAGAGTAGAAGTCTTCTCCAACACCATCTCAAGCCGTTGTTGCAAAGACTGTTGAAACACGCGCTGAAGAAAGGTCCCAAGAACTTGCTCCGGGAATGGGAACACTTCTTTGATAGTTCGGGATTCCGCTTTCATCACATCCCTGATCTCACTTACTAGGGCCATTAAGCTTGGTTCTAAGCCTGGAGGGGTCTCATCTGGATCAGAGAGCTTTTCCTCGCTAAAGTAGGATCAGCAAGGTCCACCTCAGGCAGGCAGAAAGTCGGCCACATACATGTCGGCATCAATCGCAACTTCTCCAGCGTTAATTTTACCGGTAGCGATGAAGAAGTCCATCTGATTGAGAAAATTGCTAATCACGGAATTCCCGCCATTAAAATCGTGCAAAACCTTAGCGCAACCCTTGTGAGGACAAAATTTTTAGCACATCTAGATCTCATGTTGAACCACATTTGATCTTACTTTCATAGCATCAATGTTGAACTTTCTGTAAGCGTCATCGAATTGTTTTAGTAGATCCTGTTCCAGTGTCTCCGAGAAAGCCTCAATCAATTCCTTTGTACGATTGCTTGCTCTGTATCCATCGCTTCGTTTGACCACCAAGCTCAGTTGTCGACTAACAACCGCACAGCGAATGCTGTCTTCAATTCTCCCGGTCCTTCGTAAGCTTTCCAGTCGGCCCATATCGCCTCTGCTGAATTCAGTGTAGCATTGAATCAAAAATTTAGCGTCTTCCGCTCTCTGCCGTTGTTTTTCAAGCTGTTCCAGCTGCCCCCCGATCCTAACAGCCATGCCCCCTCCATCAGAGATGCTGGTATCCAACCGCTGGAATTCAGAAAGTGTGGTGTTGAACTTGAGACTCAGACGTCCGAGGGTACGAGTGTGATCAATTTCTGCCCGACGAACCCCTTCCTTGAGCTCGGATTCCCTCATGGAGAGTGCCTCATCGAGATCTTTCAGCCGACCAAGGGCCGCCTCAAAAGTTCGAATATACGGTTTTGGGTCGAAGGCTATTCCTGGTGAGCATAAGGTCCACCAAGAAAGGAATTTTGCGGTTCCCAACCATTACTATTCCCAGTCCCGGAGCGACGATTTATAGGAATGCTCGATTCCGTGAGCCCCTCTATGAAGTCCTTGACAATGAAATCTTTGCTCTGGAAGTTTCGTCAGTGTATATCCTCAAGGTTGTATGGGTAATTGATGGATTTACTCACTGAGAAGGTTGAGAGGGAGAACTCGGGGGCTTTCGGGTAAATTGAGCGAGAATTCTCGCCATTGTTTGCCATTGTGTATGTGGTGATTGGAGGTTGAAGTAGGTGTCCAGGACACGCGTTGTCCTTTGACAATCGATACTACAATCGACTGGGGGAATGTCGCACCAAACCCCTTGCAGTGCTTCTGGGGACATTGCAACCCATGCGACACAAGCTGCGCGCAGCGGGCGTCAATCTAGGTTAACCATGAAGCCGGTTACAATACCATCATACTGTACAATTCTAATTACTCGTGTATCATAGATAAATCTACGATATCATTCCAATCAGATTTATTATCCTGGCATCGCCGAACCGGAATAACCGGTATCATACGGTAATATTATGATATCATACGACGCCGCAGCAGGTTACAGTACGATACGAGTACTGTACTTAGAGATGGGAAGTAAAAATCGAGCATTTACCAATCCCCTGTTGCCGTTGGAAGAAATCATTCTAGCCTTTACTCGCGTGTATATGCCAAAATCGGTAATAAAAAAAACCCCAACGAGCCAAGTCACTCAAATGCTCCCGATCGGGCACAGCATTAAAAAATATATTTCACCTCCGAGTCCTATCATGCTCGTAGGATACCGGTACTAATACCATCTAACTTGACCCAATAATTAATAGGCTAAAAACTTGTGTGAAAATAACCGTAACAGAGACTCCTGAAATTATCTCATCCGTTTCACAAATATCATCTACTCTCCATACGATATCGTCTAGTCTAGTCAATATCGTGGTCCGAGTCTGTACTATACTCGTACTTGTATGATACAATACAAAAATGCAATGGCAAAGTATATCCATCTTAAATATAATTTGCTCGAGTACTCGAGCACAATACGGTACCCGCCGTCATCATTGCTATTCTAAAGGTTTCCTCAACCCCTCGTATGGGACCCCCGCCCCTCCCCGCCCACCCCCGAGTGCTTACAGCACGAGCAGTGCCCAACCTAGCATCCGATTAGTTATTATGGCTCAGGAAAACTACAGGACTCGTAGACATCGGATCGACCACTTTTTCTCTCGCGACAATTTTGAGGACTGTAATGGATGTAATTAGGCTTGGCGTCATATATTGAGATGACTAATGTACTCGAGCAAGGTGGTCTAGGTGGGGTGTAATACCGTAATTGTTCTCGATTCTTCTATCTTGGCCGGGGGTGGGAAGCAACGTGTTGCTTGTAAGCTAAGCCTAATACAAGCATGACAGTCCTTGTTATGATACATCAAAAATTGTACGCGGTTTTCTTCGGAGAAGCGGTCCCACGTCTAGTCTTCCGAAGCCACACTTCTATGCTCGAGTAGAGCTCGCCGGGTTACTAAAGGAATTGGGCGAGAATTTGGCCAAAAGTATCATACGGGGTGTGTGCTCGGGTCTCAAGTGCCTTGCCTTCTCACTCGTATCGGGGGTTACAAATACCGGTACTCTACAAGTATACCAGATCGAGTTATGCTCAAGTGGATTAACCCAAAACTTCCATCAGTCAAACACTTACGATTTTGGCCAAAGATAAATGCCATAGTCTGCCGAGATTGGGCGCATGGCGGATGAGAAATCCACGTTATTCACTTTACCGGTGGCTCAGAAAGTAGCTGTCTCGCCGATACCGTCAGGTGCTTGTGTTCTCGACTGTCAGTGATCTGCGCAAGATCTTCATGTGGATCACCACCTTTCACTTCAGTTAACTTCGTTCCACCCGTTCACCATGTTCCGTACTCGTAAGGTTTACATTGATTCATTACATCTAGGCTTTAATACATTTCCTGCGAGAAGACAGCGGGATAACAAACGCCCAAAAGCCAAAATAAAGCCCATCCAAAAAATTGCCTTACATCAGAAAAAAAAGAGAAGCTCCCATCCCCCAAGGCGGTGGAGTACCATATATATCGTTCCGATAGAAAGCCTTTGTTGAAAATCAAGCCAGCCAAGAAAAAAGTATACAACAAAAGATCTACATTCACATAGCCAATCCTTTACAGAAGGAGACGATAAAAAAAAAGGTGTTTGTGGAAGCACTGCTATGAGCACATTTACCGATTATTTCTCAATGCCTGTTTATAGTTAGCTGGGTAGTTTTTGGCGTGGTTAGGAGTTATACTTTACCAAATGCATGAATTCTTCCCTGGTCCTTGTGCTCTTTCTGAAAATGCCCAGCATAGAACTCGTAGTGGTTGTAGCCGTGGTCTTCTCCACACCCCTCATAACCATACAAAGGTGGGCACTCTCCATTACAACTGCCACTCCCTGTGGCTGCAAAATCTCCTCTATAGCCATGGCGACTTGCTTCGTTAAGCGCTCCTGGAGCTGTAGACGGCGAGCAAACATCTCGGCGATGCGGGCGAATTTGGAAAGCCCAAGGACCTTGTTATTAGGTATGTAGCCAATGTGCATTTTGCCTGTAAACGGGACTAGATGATGTTCGCACATGGAAAACACCTCAATGTCTCTCACAATTACTGGATGGCTGTTAGCATCAATGATAGGCATAAAGGAGGAAAACGGAAGTTACCAAGTTCGTCGTGGTCTTCCTGAAAAACCGCATTGTTGACAATGCTTTTCAGGTTTTCTTCATACCCTTTGGTGAAGTAAAGCATGGCTTTTGCATGTCTCATCGGGGTGTCCAGTAGCCCTTCGCGGTTGGGGTCTTCACCGATACATTCCAAGATTGTTTTAATTCTGTGAATGAGGGTCTACCATTAGCTGTAGCGCACACTAATAGCAGGGCCGAGAGATACTTACGCCCCAGAAAGCTTGTTCAATCTGGCAGCAGCTTCCTCAGGGGTGGCCTCCAGTCTCTCCCTAGTTCCCAAACCTACATAAATCATAGGTCAGGCCTGACAGCTCACACAATCCAACAGTCTGGTGGGCATACTTGGCCAAGACAGACCGTCAAAATCGACCATAGACTTTAAGCTATGCGGTGTTGAAGGCCTCGAATCCTCGGGAGTAATGACATCGACAGCAAGATATGGACGGTTCTCGCCGAAATTCCTGGATCTCTGCGGCTGCAGCGGAGAAATGTCATGCTGAGTTGGCAGTCTACTCCGCGGCTTGATAGAAGCGAAAAGTTTATCACTCTCTATCAATTGCTGATTTCCCGGCACTATCGGTGAGGCGTTGGGCAAATTTGATTCAGCAGGTGGCATTTTGGCTGAGCGGATGTGAACAGTATTTCGTGGGGAAAGGATTCTGGGGAAGGAGGGAGAAATAGTGAGAGAGAAAGAGAATGCCGGTTGCTAAGTGAATATGGTCAGGGTGCCGATAGGGTCTTTGAAGTGAGGAGATGGTGGGGGTATTCGGTGGCGTCACGGGGTGGGGGAACAAGGGAAGAAAAAAATTCGAGTGGGTCTTACGTACCGTACCCGCCTGAAGTGCGACGCTTATTTACCTTCCAAGGCATAGTTTCGGTTATTCCTCATCTCTCCGTCGCGCTCTTTCCCTTCACCCTTATTGATCATCTTCTGGACCCTACCCCTCCCAGCTAACTTTAGCAGATCGCTTTCCTCCTCTATGGACCCGGCTAAGGAGAATAGAACTCTGCTCTGGAAAACTCTCACGAAATCGTGATGATTGCTGATAAGCTTCCGAACTAAGGGAGTTCTAGGATTTGATCTTCATGGGAGCTGCAAGTCGGAGTAGGTTTGTTTTCGCATGTAGGAATACCGGATTCTGCCGCTGGCCGGGAATTTGGGCGGATTTACTTATGGCCCAGAGTGGAGGAGATTTGTGAATTTTTATAATATAAGCATCTGAGGTCGTTAATAGATCGGGCAGGGGCACGAATTTGGCTGGATTTCTTGCATGATAAGAAAAGTTATCGACGACTAGAGTACTGTACTGTACTGTACTCGTACTCGAGTATACACGACCCGATGCGGGATGTTAACTTGAGGAAAAAACTTGGAGAGGAATTTTCTTGGTTGGTCTTCATCTGAAACAAACCCCGATAACTGGCGGGTATCTGACTCATGCAGGAGCTTGTAAGCTACCAGTAGGCTTCCCTTCCAGTCAAGTGGGATCTTTAAGGGACGGTAGTTACCGGTAACAAGTACGGTAGGCTACACACAGGAACCGGTATGGTGCCAGTGGGTTCGAGGTTCTCCGTGCGCTGGTATGAGCTTTAATAATCTACTGTGTTTTTTGACCGTGAAAGTGATTGGCAAGTTGCCGGTCATGGTGTTGTGTTTTACCGGTAGGTTATGCGCAGCCCATACCAAATGGTGGGGTCGAACACTACAAACCTTCTGTGAAGGAAAAAAGAACAAGAATGGGTTTACAGTTGCATAGTGCCGTATAACTACTGTCACGCCTTCCAACCTTCTGGCGTTCTTTAATGGGTATTTTAGCGCAGCGATATCCGTGTTATGACCAATGTCCCTGTGAGCCTCAATACACGTAACGGGAAGACAGTTCAGCCTGAATTGATTGGTCACAACAACAGGACGGGTAGCAGAAGTTTTGGTGGAAATATCGATCCCACGAATTTGAGTGTGAAGAGAATGCAGAAAGATAAGATCTACCCCCAGTGCTCGCTGCTCAGTTATTGCCAAACGTCTTGCTCTCGAGTCAACAGGCTCAAGTACCTGTATAGTCAGCGTTTAGATCCCATTATACTAATATCTTTGTACATTGCACATCGTTCCAAAACCCCCGGGCTAGTGAGGACCAGCAGCAAAAGGATAGGTGAAAACCAAGCGCATTCCCCACCAGGAGCATGACAAAATAGGGCGGGTAGAGAGCAGTGGCACTTCATGGACGAAGAGCGAATTCGTCAAAGTGGGGTATCATATATCATATCATACTGTACTCGTAGCAGAAAAATTACCTGTAAATTTTTAACGATCCCTGTTCCCCCCAACCCGCCCAGTTGCGCCATGTTCCCATGGAGGAAAAGTGGCGGGGCCGGTGGGTGATATATTGCCCGCACAACCCCGAGGGTGGTCACTTCCCGCAGAGTTCGGTAGCCCAGGTTGGCGAAGCGTAAGTGTTTGTCACCATCATACCGACCAAAGTCACTGGGTTCGGGAAGTGCTCATGTCAACCCACCAGGGACCGCCCGCACTCGGAAATAGGGAAGTATAATAAGGACATAGCCATAGTTTAGCCCAACCCGCAACCGGTCCTAGAGTTTGTTTTTATCATATAGTATCATACCTGCCAGGGAGTTCACCACCTGGGGTAGGCTTGAGAATCGTACCGGTGGTCGGTGGAACTTTCTCATAAGTAACTGTAAGAGCACACCTTGTGACTGATAATTGAACATCACCACGCACGAACATTGCTTCGATACTGAGATTCTTCAAATACCTGCCTTGGAGAGAATATGACGCCTCGATGGCTCTATTACATCACTACCAACGGAGGATCCGCCATTCTCATTACACTCTGCCTGGTCTACCTATTAACGTCCCCCGCCAGTGCAGTTAGGCCCGGGCGTATGGCGGTACCGACTTTCCTGGACTTTACGGCCGGAGGAAAGGAGTGTGAAAATGATGGGACTCGACCAGAGAGGCTCCTCGCCATACGAACGATAGTGAGCAAAAGCGTTGAGGAGATGGAAAGATACTTGGCCACTTTTGACGACGGCCCATGGGATGCGGATAGGGACCCGGAATATCCAAACGTCAAGCAGATTACGAGTGACTTGCGGAGGTTTCCTCCGGATTTCAACTGCCTTACCGCGGAGGAGTACAAGCGTTGGAGAGCTTCAAAGGGGAGGGGGGTGGGTACTGGGAGGAAGGGCGCTGAGTTATACCCGCTCGAATATAGCATGCATTTTGAACCGAAAGGGTTTGGGACGGAGATGTCGCGGAAACAGAAGGGTTTGATTATCTTGGGACCTGAGCTTTGGTTACAAAGTGAGTCGCCTCCCTCCAGGCGAGGGAAATCGCCAATTAGCAATTCCTGTTTTCCCCCGGGGAAAAAAGTCCTCACAGCGTCTAGGTGGGCTGGAAGGCAAGGCCCGAAGAATGTACAGTAAGGGTTCCCTCTATCGATGCGTCTGCGGATCTGTAGCTAATGGATGCCGGTGAAGCATTGACCTAGCCTGGGAGAGACAACTGCACGTACGACCCGAGAGTAGAAAGACGCGTCCGTACGAAGACCCGGCACTGGTCCGTCCTTGCGCCCCCCACCAAACCATGAAGCTCCGAGAGCTTGTTTTGCTGGCATACGATAATGTGGTGAGTGGGGATGGCATGCTGGGAATCTGCCAGGCCCCTCCCCCTTTCAGTTGTGCGTACGGGGATTGGAAGAATATCCCCGGCGAAGGGTACCAGAGACCGCAAATTGGAGGGGAGAAGGAACGCGATTCATTCCGAAAAGATTTCGAATTCCTCAGCGGTGGTTCTGATTCGTCCTCATTGGATTAAATGCCGGGACGAGGGATTGGCTTTCAACAACAACCCTGGGCGAATAGAGATATTTGTTTGTCCGAAGCTCTTCAAAGCCAAGGAATTTGAAACTTTCGATCACCTCAGATTGTAACACATGAAACAGCAAAGTAAACTAAGAATTTTCCCTCTTTTCTAACTTCGAATACTCCTAGTATTCTAGGGGTTGGAAAGAGATCTGTCAAAACTCTTAGCGCTAAATCATAGTAAATACTGCCAAGAGTTCAACAAATCTTTTTCAGCCCCTAGTAGAAACTTGCACTGGCCATGCACCCTCTTTCCAGCCTTCTTCATTTGTCCCGTCACGTGATTCAAAGAATCAAAGTCAAAATATGGTCTGGTTTGACCTAGGTTAGGTGTGTAAAGCCAATCTTGCAGCCGAATTGCCGATTCAGAATTGACATTGCTCCACTGGTTTGGCCTAGGTTACCTGTATGCAACACCAATCGCTGATACAAAAATTGACTCATTGTCCAAGCGAAAGAAAAAATCTTAAGTTATGAGTACTCGTAATATCCTGACGTTTGTGAACACAACTGCTATTGCATGATGCCAAGATCAGGGCAAAAAAGCTGAATTTTGATGGTATGTAATAGCAGTTGTGTTCACAAACATCAGGAGAGTACAAGGGTGACCTTTTTCCACCAAGAATCTTCTAGCTAAGATTGCCTGTTCATATGGTTAGACAAACGTAATTTGGCCAGTAAAACTCGAGTTTGCCTCACTTACCGACACTTTAGTGTTTTTCTCTATCATTCTGTTTCCTCTGCCTGCGATTGATGGTAATTTGCTTTCTGAGTTTGTACCATACATTTGATTAGTAAAGGAGATCTGAATAGAGTCTACAGCCGGTCAGTGGAAGTGTTCATGGACTAACTCTGGTACCTGTGTATACAAGTATGCCCAGCCCATCACTTTGGTTTCTGGAGAGAGCGATCGCTGAGTGGACTGTGGCCTGTGCAAGAACCATGAACTCTGTCCATGCACAAAAAGATTATCAAGTATGTCCTACTGCGATCAGCAATGCACCGGCATCATTCTATGTTGTTCCAGTAAATTTTTGATTGGTGTGTTCGGTTAACAAAAGAGCTCAAACCACTACTTTATTGAACGAAAGCACCTAACTTAGATACTTGTATTAGAGACCCTAAAGGTTATTTTACGAAGATATGGTGGTGTACCCTACTACTCAACCGCATTTCCAAGGGGGATCATGTGCATTTGAGTGGGCTTTCGAAAAAAGTTCGTCTCGTAGGCTTGTAATCCTGATTCACCGTTCAAACTCGACCCCTCTGCAGCTGGGGCATTGAAGCGGTTTCACCGGTTGAGGGATGGCTTTTGGTCCAGGGTGATGAGGTGGGCGATGTTTGATGAGGAATATCGTCTGGCGCTGGTGTTGAGGTCGGTGTCAGACAGAGATGTGGAAGGGCTGGAATGTTGGTACTGCCAATTGTATCAGGCAGGAGGGGGTTGATGGGACACTGTACTCGTCTCGGGCAAGAAGTACCCGAAATTTTAGGAGGAAAACAGGGATAATTCAGGGATAATTCAGGGAGAGAGCAGGGTGATTTTGTATGGCCAACTGGCTGTGCACATCAGTGCGCCCATACAATAACATTTCAAAGTCAAATGTCCGAGTACAGTCTTTCATCAGGTCTTGACGAATATCAGCGGGTGATGAACAGGGGTATTCTGCCAGCAAAAAATCGAGTAGAGTAACAAAAAATGCCTGCTAATACCTGTTCGTCACCCGCAGATATTTGTCAAGACCGGATGATGAGTACGAGGCTGGCGACAAAAATCACCGGTAGCAACAACAAATCTCATCTCATGAACGGTCAACCATTTTAAAGAAACCACAATAACTCAATAACAGAAGTGGTAGAAAAATTCAAAAAAACAAGTAGAGTAGAGAAGATGAATAAGAATATAAAAAATGAATTAAAACTCCGTTTGCATCCCTTTCCGTTCCTTGACTTGCACTAGCCGTACGGGCATACTATCTATATAGTGGTTCCATGCAGATGGCTGTAAATGATCCCACTCTTCATGAACAGCCTTTTTCAAGTGATCAATATTTCAAGGAAAGGTCTCCCATGCCTTGATCCTTTGTGTGAGTATTCGCCACACATTCTCGATGGAATTGAGGTCCGGCGATGAAGGTGGCCGATCGTGTAGTGGAATCCCTAGAATGCTTTTGGTCTCCCCCAACATCCCACCAGTTCCATGGACTGGGGCTTGGTCTTCAATATACTGGGCCTCTGGGGAGGCATTATACTCAAGGAGATTTATGAAAGCCGAAGCAACAATGGGCTCGAGGACCTGCTGTGAATAATCTTTTGCTATTACCCCCTTTGGTCCTGTACCTTGGAGGAAGACAAGAGGAGACTTCCAACCATAGCTGAGGGCACCCCAGACCATAATGGATGCACACCCACTATGGAAACTATGCTGCATGCAGTGGTCACGGGAGCGCTCGATCGGAAGTTGAGTGACCCAAATACTTCCTCTTGGAGACGTATTAAAAGTGCATTCATCAGAAAACATATACTGTTGCCACCACTCAATTGGCTTATACATATATTCATCAGCATAAGCTTTACGCTTCTGCCGATTCTTTCGATTAACAAAAGGCTTTTTACAAGCCTTGCAGCAAGAGTAACCCTCCCTCTGCAAAGCTTGCTTAATTGTGGTCACGGAAGTACTTAATCCTGCCTCCTGCCCCAACTTGCGCCAGCAGAGTCATCACCCATCCCAGTCCTTTTGGAGATGGAAGATCAGGCATCATATATTGTGTTCTGAGAGGTAGTGGGGGCGATAAGGGTGGTGGTGTTGACGGTGTGGCTGCTTGATTCTCCACTAATCACTGACAGTTTATTGAGGAAATCCAGTCTGTCGGGCAATTTCCGACTATGTCACGAACATGGCTTGGCATGAAAAAGGTTTTCATGTAACACATGGTTATGAGTCACAGGTATGGTATTGTTTCACACATATGACTCAGTTGAGTCATATGATTTGTTATGTGTGGGATTTGTGATACTTTTACACATGGCTCAAATATGAATCATGGGATGTGCACCTGGCAAGTATGCCTTACGAGTGTGCCTTACAGGTAAGCCTTGCGCATATGATTTATGTTTCACACATGACCTCGTTATGAGGTCATGGGTTTCATGCATATGACTCAGTCGAGTCATATGACTTGTTTATTGCGTTATGATTGGTTTATGAGTTTTTACACATGACCTCGTTATGAGGTCATGGGTTTTGAGCAGGTGACCACTTTGGTCAGATGACTAGTTTGTTATGATTTGGTTTTGCACATGTGACCACTTTGGGTGACATGACTACGGACGGGAAGAATACTATATAAGGAGGCCGATGCGGCCAAGGAGGATAGGTTCTTCACGCTTTGTTCTAAGTACTTTTCCTACTTCTTGCACTCCGTGTTGGAAGTGAGCACACCCAATACTTTACCTTATTTCGCTCGCGATAAATACTTCATCTACTGTTACCTGTTTGTGTTTTTCGTTTCGGGCGGTCGGTTAGAAGTTGTTGTTCTCGCTTAGAAGATACTTCAGTGTAAGATATCCGTGGCCTGGTCCCGGTAATCACTGAGTATAGTTTGGGTGAGGATGGCATCTTCGACAGCCTCCTCCTCCACGGATTCTCCCCCCCCTTCGAGGATGTCGTCCCCCGTCCGGTTCGACTCCAACCCCTCCTCCTCGCTTGAGACAGCCTGTGCGGCCCTGTCTCTTGCGCCTGCTACTGAGGCCGACCGTGGCCTCGTCCCTACAACTACACAGTCTTATGTTGCACCCAGGGGAAACTTTAAGTTTTTACAGTTCCACCACTGCCACGGGTGTCAGAATGCGGTTAACCCGCAGTTTGACGATTTGGTTCGGCAAACGGTCGCTGACGCGACCGTTGCCACGATGAAAGAGGTGGAGGTTTTAGTAAAAGGTTTCCTGATCGGGAGAGGCTGCTCAGCCACGTGTGGCTTGAACAAGAACACTACCACAGGACTCTTCGTTCGGTTCAATTCAGACCATGGCTCGGAATACTCTCCAGCCCCCGCACCTTCCCCTCCAAAAGATTCTCAGGCTGTAGTCCCTGAATCCTCCATCCCCCCCACCAAGGACGACTCGACTGCTGCCACGGTTGAGGCCAGCTCTTGGTCTGCTACTCCTCCCCTCGCTAGGGCTGTCCAAAGCAAGATGCCCAGCTTTTTCCGCCAGGCCCACAATACCAGGACCGGCTCCTCGACTCCCTCCTTTCTGGCAGGAATGTCTTCAGGCGAAAGGGCTCTTTACGAAACCCCGAAGTTCAAAATGGACAACCCTAATGACGAGGATTACAACCCTCCTGCCTCTGGAACGCGCCGCCGGACATGGTCGGCATCTCCCATTAAGCGATCTGCTGCTCCTCTCCTTGGTCCTCAATTTTTAAGGGCTATCAATGTTGATGAGGGACGGAAAAACCAGATTGTCCCCGCTCTTCTCGGCCTACCCCTGGGTGTTCACCATGGGCGTCTGGCCATCCCCCCACCTGTGATGCTCCCATCAACAATTGAAGCCACACCCCCTTCTCCATCCCCTCTAATGACTGAGGATATCCTACCCACCTCTGAGGTACTGGCCAGGGACACCCCTATGGAACTGGATGAGGGACGCAACTCGGAAGCGACCGGTTTGGGCAACAGCGTACACGCCCCTTCATCAGCCATGGAGTCGTCACCTCCGCCTGTTACTGGACGATGGATGTCACCTCCAGGAAGCCAACTGGAGGCCCCCTTGGAAACCCCCAGTGGTGATTCAACCCCATTGGAAGTCCAGCTCCCAGAAACCCAATTTGAGGACGCCGACATGGTAGTGGCCCAGGCGGACTCGATCATGGCAGGTGTCTGTGAGATGCTGGATGCTGGTAAGACCCCCTCGCCTGGACCCCGCTCAGGGAGTATAATCGGATCCATGTTGGAAGGTCTGGAGGACATCCGGTCTGGTAATACTCAACCCCTCCTCTACTCGGAGTCTGGGTCGATTGAGGACG